GATGTGACATAACGATTTTACCAAATGTGATGTGTTAACCGAGGTGACGGCACATGAATTGAATAATAGTTAAGACTCATTGTTAAAAAAAGTTGTAAAAAACAAGCATTTTTGAAACGATACAGCTGTTAAAAAACAAAAAATGTTGTTTTCAATTGACCCGTCGCGAAACTTGTGCCATTCGGCTTATACACTACAGAGTGGGTGATCCGAGACGGGTTTTTTTCTCTGCTTAAACTGTACCGGATTCAAGCGTGCGAACGGGTTGCATACTCGCACGGAGCCGCAAGGCGCCATGGTAAGCGACGATAGGCAAGCATGCCTGCACGCCTGAATCCGGTACAATATACTCAGAAAAAAAAAGATGACTCGGATCCCCCACCCTGTATTAGCCCACAACAGAAACTACTTGGTATAACTTTGCTGTAAATGTACAAGAAAAGCGTGGTTAATTTTGTCAGCAACACATTTCGTTAAAAGACGTCACACTCGTTATATTACAACTTTTTTTTCCAGGAGCAGAACAAAAGTGATTGTTTCCGGTCAGAATAATCCTCGTAGGCGATTCTCGAAGTGGTAGACTCTCTCTCTCTCTCTCTCTCTCTCTCTCTCTCTCTCTCTCTCTCTCTCTCTCTCTCTCAAACTAGTTCTAAAACAAACCTGTCAGGCCATCAAAAATTGTTTTTGTTTGTTTGTTCGTTTGTTTGTTTTTCGCAACGTGGATACAAATGAGTGTCACATGGGAGAGTTCTCACCCCACCCCTAATAGACTCCCGATTTACCCGTTCCTGTACCCCTACGGTCGCTGATATCCCTTTCTTTCTTTATCTGGGTGTGCCGTGTGCGTGTGGATATCTCTCAGATTACATCAGTGCGAATGTGTTTTATTGGCACGGGTGCCGTCTCTGTACGTAGCAAACTTGTAAATTGCAACACGTGCGAGTGCACTGCACTGCGCCACAGCTAAGTAGCAGAACCTGCTGGTGTGATTGGCGTGGGGTAGGGCGAGGACAGGCGCGGCCCGGCGCAGCCTGCAGAAGCCAGACAGTTCCGATAGGAGATAATATGGGTCAGTAGGAACATCCAATCTCATCTTAGTTTTATTGTTCACCTCCCTAACTCGCGAAGAAAACCATTTAGCTGATACAACCAATTATGATCGCACTAATCAAATTGAGTGAGCTTGACTGAATTACTTCATAAATTCGGACACGGATGGGTTTGCAGTGCTATTTTGTATTTCTAGGGTTCTAAATTTCACTCTCTGGACTAAACGGTCTTCTGGTCTCTCTCTCTCTCTCTCTCTCTCTCTCTCTCTCTCTCTGCCTTCCTTCTCTACCTCTCCCTCCCTTCCTCCCTCTCCCCTCCCTCCCCACTCTCCCTTCCTCTCCCCCCCTCTCCCTCTCTCTAACCCCTGTCCACGCACGCGCCCGCTCCTCTCTCCGGCCTACCCCGGCTACTCAATGTGTGAGGTGAAGATGGGGAAGGCCGCCGGGTTGTTGCGGCCGATCAAGTCTGCAGAGCTACACAATCGTATAGTGGCGTGGGTGCCGACAGAGTTTAGGGACGATTTATTGTCGCCGTTTACGTAACGCACCGTGTTAACGTCGTGAGCCGTGATGCTATCGGTCGCGGCGTGCACCGGACGTGCGGAGCGTGCGACATCCGGGTGATGGTGATCCGGGCCAGAAAGTCAACAATAGCTGCTTAGCTGCTGGAGTGGACCGAGTCACTCCTACTGACAAGCGCTGAATGGCGCCAATACTGCGACGAGACGTTACTGGGCAACAAATTCAGAAACAGAGAGAGGGAAGGAGGGGGAGAGAGGCAGAGAAAGAGTGAGAAGGAGAATGTGAATTGGATGAAAGCAGTTGGGTCCGGTTGTTGAGCCTGGCCTGGTCGGTGCAAAAGGTGCTCTGGCACGGCGTGGCTGCGGCGCGTAGCTTCAAGGCCAGACAAGGCCGTCTGGACGCGTCTGGAAGACAGAGAAAGAGTGTCGGGGAAAATTGCAAACAAGGAGAGAATCCTTTTTTTCCGTTTGTGGAATATACGAGCAGTTTTACGCTTTGTCGGATATTTTAGTAAAGAAAGTAGTACAGAGTATTACGTTGTTGTATTGTAATTGACACGTGACCGCCCGAGCGGTCCCAGACGGGCTACGGGACTGGCGATTAGACGCTACATAAGTAGTACAGACGAGAGTACAGAGTATTACAGAGGAGTATACGTTGTTTGTTGCAATTGATAGGCAGATGCCCGAGCGGGCCCGGGCTGGGCTACGGGACTGGCAATTAGACGCTACATAAGATGTTTCCCAGCGATCGGCGCGGCCTGTGGCCTGCCGGACCCAACCAATCCTGCTTTTTTCCCCTTTTGTCCAGTTAGCCACAAAAAAGTGGATATGCCAGAGAAGCGAATTACTTGCTATTCCCAATATTATGTTGTTGTTGTTTTTAAGAAACGAAAGTATTTAAAGATAGCCCCGGTGAGAAATCAAAATCGATGTGACATCGAATCGACATCAAATAGATGTCAGTTATCGGAAATTCTCGATTTTAAGACCATCTCAGGATCGATTCGACACGATAATCGACAATTTACCGACAACGATATCAGTCTGACATCATTTCGATGTAACTGTTTCTCACTGGGCGCCTGAATATGAAGACAGTTGTTGAGTGCCTTACCCCTCGCCGACCCCACCACATTTGCATGCGCATCCCGACTGCGGATGCGTTCCCGGCGGCTGGCTACTGCCTGGCCCGCCGCCCACCCAGTGACCTAGAGGGGCAGGGCACTGGCCGCCTCGCCTTGAGGGGCCAACACAGTATTTGCTTTTGTTTGTTTACCTTATTATAAAGCCAAAGCGAAATGAAAAAATAGTAAGGTAGAGCTATGGAGGGGGAAGCCAGGAA